ATTGATCATATATTGACTCCTTTGCCCTGCATGCTATTTGCAGTCACTGGAATCTTTTTCATGCTACATGCAACAAGCTGGGAAAAAAAAAATATGAATAAGAAAAGCGAGTTTTTTATTAAAAAATATATTTTTCCTCTTTAATTCAATTCATTAAATATTTTACAAATATTTCTTAAACCATCATTAGTTTATTTAATAAATCATCATGTTGCTAATGAAAAAATATAATGTTGTTGTTGTAAAGTAACATGAAGGAGAAAAACAATTTTCATTACAAAAACAATATATTTTTTCATATATAATTTTAACTCTTTCATTTTACAAATATTTATTTTATTTTTTATATAATTAAATAAAAATAAAATTTAAAATATATCTAACTACAGCACGTGTACTATACAAGTGAATTACTAAGAGTATCTCTAATTGAGATGCTAAAAATAATATATATATATATATATATATATATAATGTTATCTTACTATATTTTTTTTACAAAAATAATAATGTTATTTTACAATAATATTTTTTTATTATTTTTTTTCCTTTAATCTTTTTTTTTGTTTGCTTATTTTAAAATTATTTAGTACCCTTTTTCCTTCACCGTTAAAAGACTTATGTTATCACTTTCATCCTCCAATACCCAACTACCAAAAATACATAGCTCACTACCAAAAATACATAGCTTAATCTCCTCATAAAACTAAAGCTTTCCAACAACTTTTTTTACCCAGCACCACAATTATAGACCCACACTCACTATAACTTTATTTACCTCTAACAAATACTTCATCTCTTCACCTATTTCATCCCTATCAACTCTCCACGATCGCAAACATCTTAAATCACCTCATATCTCTATCAAAAATCTCTATTTTTTTCTAAATAATCTACTTTGAATTAAACTAGAAATCATATATTTTTTAACCCGAAACCCAACAAATTTCACAACCTCAATCTATCTTAGTTTAAAAGCAAAATTTAGTCAGTTTGGAACATAAATCATACTAAAAATACACAACCAAAACCCGGTTGAATCCTTCCCTAATGAAAACCCACAAGTTGCAACACCAACTCAACCTAAAACTGACTAAATGGAGTACTTCAGTCTATTTCTACTCTAGTACAATTAACATTTTACAAATGCAATGATTACGAGGTTAAACGGAGACATGAAACTAGTGATGTCATTCAAAATGGAGTACTCCAACCTCTAGTAATTCAATTTGAATTAATAACGAGCAGGAATAGATCAAGAGAACATGTTGCAATGTTGTTTGACTTTGAGGAATAAGTTTTCTAGGTCAACACTCCTATTAAATTGAGTGTTGTGAAATAAGTCAAATAAACAGTTAAATTGAATGATAGAACACACACATGTGGTAAATAACAAACATTTCATCATCCATGTTTACATGTCGAGAATCACTTGGACTTCATATAGTTTGTTGTTGAGTATTAGCCACAGGTCAACATATGGAATGTCATTTTGTTTATTATGAGATGCATTAGAATGGATTGATTACACTAGACCTCGATTTGAAGCAGACTTATCTAGATAGAGATTCAAACATGATTGATGAATGTTTACTCGTTTGTACAACAAGATTGATGTAAGATAAGGTCATGCACATGATAGGTATGACATATACAATGACATATGGCATAATAGAAAAATATGTTATAATCAAGAACATATGTATAATAATTTATTAGGTCTTGTTATGATATATTATGATATTTTTTTAAGTATATAAAACTTATATAATTACACATCAATCACAAATACTATTACATAGGATGCCACATACTCGAGGTGTAGGTCGTGTACTTATGTAGAGCTTCCATATTTGGATGATGATCAGGGTGAGCATTATTATAAGCATGAAGAGCATGCTAAGCATGAGTCATAGTACATGCCTACCAGACCCAACAACACTTTTATCTTGTAATTGCAAGATCGACATCGATCAGAGGACGTATTCGCTGACATTATAAGAATATTTAATTTTAATATATTTTCAATTTATGTTTAATTTAATTATCATTAAATGTTATATTTTCAATAATTATAATTTAAATTGTTATGCAGGATGAGACCATTATTTACTATCATACACATAAGCATATGCGACTATATGAGCAAGTCTAACTATATGTGGCTCAGGCTGGTTTTTTATATATTAGTTATCTTGACCACATCAAGCTTGACCATTGATTGATTTATACACTGACTAAGTAATAGAGACATGAGACACACACATTCCATTTTAACCATTAAGAGATGACATCAACACTATAGGACGTGGTGATTTTGCTTGGATTACTTATTGATGGACGATTAATCATATTTACTAGTGTTCATAATAGGATTGTGTTATAGGAGCGATTATTTAGATTGACACCCCTTCTTTTTGAATTGAAAGAGGTAACATATGTCTCAAGTAAATTAAGAAGACATTCTCGACACCACCAGATGATGGTGATGAAGAGGTTTTATGAAGATACAAAATCAATTAATTTTAATTTGTTTGTAGGTATGCCAAAACATATATACTCAATTTGTTTGACAGTGTATTATTTATTAATCTCATATAGAGATATGTTTCTTTGTCTTATCTGATGCTCCTAGAAAATTTTTATGTTATCCTTATATAAAACTAGGGATCTACTATATTGACATCCTTTTATCTTACATGCATAAAGGGATTCAAACAGTCGGAGGATGTTTGCTACTTCTACATGTATTAATCGAAAAAAATCTAAATAACTATTTAGATTTGAATATTTCATGCATAAAATAATTAACAAAATATTTTCATTTCATAATATTTATGGTTTTGGAAATATCTCCATGTGAGCAAACCCTAAATACCGAGAATGTTGGATATGACAGTCCAAACCATAAAGGTTACACTTCATCTCCAACTAGGATGCAAGTATTGCGATATTATTTTTTCAAATATATATATTTATATTGTGTTCTTGAAACTTTTAAAAATACAATTAATCTAACATGTTTTTAACTCAAGGTGGTGTGCTGGACGAGTTTTTAAAAATAATCTAGCACAATATGCTAGCATTTTATTGAAGCGAGCTTGATAGGCAACATGTTATTCATGTATTTTTTGAACTATTTGTTAAATAAAATAATTAACTATATAGGTCATGTGGATGCTTTACTTGGAAGAAAGATTGGTCGTTGCTCCAGCTGCCTATACCAACGGGATGGATATATGGACAATTATGGTTCTGCTAATATGTTTTAAGATGGTTGAGCTACATTACCTGGATCAAGTAATGTGACAGTTCAATTACAAACAACATATTCCAATCGATATCAATACGAGTGATGCTTTGCATATCATTACTCGTAAGGGTAAAAATAATGATTACAACTGGTTAGACTGTTATAATGCTTATATATCACAATGAGATGCATGGAAGAATGAAATATTTACAGAGATGCATCTTATTATTATTGATGAAGAGTATATGATTTGATACATGATTGTAACACAACGAAACATTACTTTGGATCCCTAGCAAGTTCCTCTATCTAAATATATATAGTACAAGCAACATGCTTAGTGGATTCAACATCACGTAAGTAATAAAGTGCTTTTATAATTAATATATGTTAACTGTTGAGTTTTATATATTTATCTTTTAATTTAACATTAGTTTCTTATCAATATCAGGTTGGCTTCTTGCTATAGAAGAGTTTAAAGATCGCATCTTATCTTCGTAGTACAGACAAAGAAAGCGAAATTTACACAGTAGCATCCTAGTGGTTAAAGATTTATCACACTAGATTTGAAATCTTTAGAAAGAGGTTAATTTTTAATGATGTCATGATAGAAAACAAGACCGCTAAGGTAGGAATAAGAGCTAGATCTAGTTGTGCTACTCATGAACTCGGATCATTTAGTTGATAATGTAACATAGATAGATAGATGAATTATCTTTATATATTTTAGGATTATTTAAATATTGTATTATTGAATTATTTTTTATTTATTTTGCATATATATATATGTTTTTTATCTATTTCTAACGCTACTTATAATTATAATATATGAGAATATGTAAAGTTTAGTTAAAATTTGTTGAATATATGAGAATATGTAAAATTTAGTTAAAATTTGTTGATTGGTTATTGTGAATTGTGACAAATTAAACTATCTGAAACCATAAAGTTAAAAGAATTTCAAATTAATAAAAACTAAGATTTTATAAATTTTTTCAAGCTTAAAACATGAAAATGATCCACAATCTTAGCCAAAACAATTAAATCCCAATTAGAGATTCTCTTTTTCCTTTCCTCCTAGATAGATAATGGGGGAAGGAAGTAAAGCGACGGGTTTGGTCACTGAGATTTAAGCCTTCTTTAATTGCACAAGTTAAGAGATTTAATTATTAAAGAAGAAGAAGAAATAAGAAGATGAGATTATTTTCCATATCATTGTATGCCTATCCATGAGCTGAGTTTCATGCAGGGGCAAACAGATGCATAGATCCTCAAATTCTACAAAGAAGGTAATTGACGGGAAGGTAAAAATAGTTTCATATACACCCCAGAGTCCAGATATCCATACCTATAGTATACATATTTCCTATTTGTGGAAAGATTTTTTTGCAAAAGGGATAAACTTACTATAAATTTGTCTCTGTACAACACTAAAGAAAATTTGCATTAGACTCTCTCTTTTTCCTTTCCCACAACCTTATTCAATATAATATGAGAAGGCCTTCGAGATCAAAGCCCATCGCGGTTATATAAATTATAACCAGAGATAAGGGAGCTACCAGCATAGGCAATGAAAGCCAGGAAGGCCATGACAACCGAGACAGTTGCCATCTTTGTGAATTCATCTTTGCCCCAGTTAGATTGCCAGTCATCAACCCGAGTGGCTGATGATGATGATGCTGATACCAGAAGATATGCTAGTATCTGCAAAAACAAACTATTCACTTTCAATATCAAAAAACAAAGGGGAAAAGAAATCATCATGCCTACTTGTATTCGTTATCAGTATACAAAAACTAAAAAGAAAAATAATTCTGTGCATGATAGTGTTTTCATTTGGTCCTAAAGATGTAAATTACATCCACTTCATTGATTCAGGTCTCCCAAACAACCCGAATCCCTACGAGTCATTTGCGGCCAGATCTGCTTGAAATTGGTTGTGGTACAAGTAAAATGGATCTCCTGTCAACCAGAAGTCATGGAAATCTATGATTAATGCAGAAACCAGAAAACATGGACTTGCAGTGAATTACAAGCAGGGGCAGATTGAATCAGCCACATGCTAGAACCTTGATTGGGGAAATCAAAGGTCACTCTCAAAGCCCTGAATAGTCCCTACTCACTAGTCTACTTCAACTCCTGAGATCAACACAAGGGTGTTTGTCAGCACTGACTCTAGTTAAAGGAAATACTAATTTGTGGACTAAGCTGAAACTGAAATCCAACCCAAGTTAAACCCTGCTGCTACCATCATGCACAAACCACGGAGTTCTGAGGGCACAACCGGCTATTCACAATAATGGTCCCAGAGAACTATGGTCCAAGGAAAAGAAATCTGGAAACAGTGCTACATGCAGCTGCCCTGTCTTTCTTTCCTTTTCTTTTCTTTTCTTTTCCCAGAATTTAGTATTTGCTCTCACTATTCAAGCCCGAAACCTTTGGTCCCAAACTGAAGGCATCTATTGACTATCATTGAACCAAAAACTGGACATTTAACAAATTCTTAATAGCATCATCAGCCAAATTAACCTACTCTCCTTCCAGGAACAAGATAATCACCTATTGTAATGTACTCTTTCAATCAACAATTGTCCATGGAGAAATTACCAGCCATGAGATGAAAGGGTACCTCCTCATCCCTATAGTAACCTGGTGAAGATTCATCCTATGGCTAGAAAACTTCCAAGTTCGCATGCAAACAGCATATACACCTCAAACTTACATCTATAACAGACTCCGGAAAAAAAAAAATTATTCCCCACATCATAACTTACAATGAAAAATTAAAAGAGAAAAAAGAAAGCACTTTCCAAAGCCTTAATAATCATGAAAACCATGTAACACAATAGTAACTAGCATAAGTATATAGCTATTCTACATGAAGAAACAGAAGAAGAAAAAATCACAGTTTAACAAAATGAATCACCTGATCCATGAAAAAGTTGAAGTGATGACGAAGATGGTGTCGAATCACATGTTTTCCTGTGGCTATGTGATAGGTTAAATCATAAGCTTGGAATCCAGCATACGCAAACCCAATCACATTCACAGCCAAACAATACCTGCACTTCCATCAATTTCAAAAATTAGAAATAAACCCCAAAGATTTTAACACACAATTAACCATAAAAACACACACACGAAAATAGAAGAAGCAAATAATTAACACTAATTAATCACGACCTACCTGTACTCTTTATATCTATCGAAGGAATCACCACTCCATCCTTTAGTTTTATCAGCAGCCATAACAGAAAAAGATATCAAACACAAAACAATCTCACTAACCCTAAACCCTAACTCACCAATCTTCATCTTCTCTTCTTTCCTCGACCCCCTCATCACCGAGGCCGTCGAACTCCCCTCCGGCCCCACCTTCTTCACTCCCGCAGCCGGTACCTGCTCCCTCACCGCCCTGTTCAGCACCACCTCCGGCATCCCCTGCAGAGGCGCCGCGAGGTTATCCGGCGGGATAGGGGAAAGTGCGGGGGAGTACTGAGTAGACTTGTCGGTGGCGAAGACAGAAACGGAATTCTGGAGCGGAGGTTGTGGTTTCTCAGGGGAAGCGATGGGAGAGACGAAGGGCGGGGATTCGGGAGGGTCGCCTAGGTCGGATCGGAGAGGGGAATCGTAACGGAGAGGGGAGATGGGTGATTCGAAGTGCGGTAGTGACTCGGAGTTTGAAGAGGAGGATCGTCGAATTGGTAAGGGGTATATAAATAGAAATGGAATGATGTAGTTTTGTAGGGAGGAGCAAGTGAAGATCTTAGATGAAATTCTAATTGATAATTCTGAGTCAATTGGGAAAAACTTTCATTGGGGAGTCAATGGAGACAAGGTCCATACCGGGGGTATATAAATAGAAATGGAATGATGTCGTTTTGTAGGGAGGAGCATGTGAAGATCTTAGATGAAATTCTAATTGAGAATTCTGAGTCAACTGGGAAAAACTTTCATTAGGGAGTCAATCGAGACAAGGTCCATACAGAGGGGACTTTTCTTACGTTTGTCTAAAGAAAGTTAGAAGAGGAGGCTGCTTTAGTGAGAAGATCTTATGTTTTGATTCCTGGGGACGGGGACACGTGGCATTGTCTAAAGAGAAGAGCTATGCTCTGCTATTGTAGGGGTTCAATAAAGTGAGGTACATCGTAGAATAAATAGGAAACAGGTCAAGAGTAGTTGCTTTTTATGTGATGTGGCACCTGACAGGTACCTAAAAGAGTTTTACCTAAAGAGACTGAGAGATTCCACGTTAAATAGAGCGCACTATCGAGGGGCAGACACGGCGACAGAATTTTATTTATTTATTATACACATTAATGAAGATTCAGGTGTTTTTGTTTTTACTTTTAAAAACAGTTTTTAATTTTTTTTCAGTTAAGTTTTTTTATGAGTTTATATTATTTTAATATATTAATATTAAAAATAAATTTTAAAATGTATATTATTTTAATATATTAAAAAAATATTTTTTAAAATAACTGATATTACAGCCACAAACACTATAAAAAATATTTTAAATTTTAATATTTTTTATTTTAAATTAATTTTTTATGAGTTTATATCAATTTAATATATTAATATGAAACAAATATTTTATAAAATAAAAAATATTATTTTAATATATTTATAAAATGTTTTTTGAAAATCACCAAATCATAATCCTATATACTATATATATAAAAAAATCATAAATGAATGATGCTTTGAGATTTTCTTTCTTTCTTTTTAAGAAGAGGGTGTATAGGATTATGATTTTATGTTTAAATACATGGCTTAATTAGCTTTCTAGATTCCAGAAAAAATATATCTTTGGATAGATCATAAGAGCAAATAGTCGTGAAATGTAATGACCGGGAAATTATATAATAACTGATTGAATACCTACAAACAATGAGCTTATTTGAGAATGCGTGAAACGACTCACTGCAGCTTATTTTAATAGATTTAATAATTATTATCACATAGTTTGAGCTTGTTGGGTCTATGGCACGTTGAGAGTATTTATTAGAATGTTTAATGATGAGAATGTTTCCTTTGGATTTTCCCTTTATAATTTAGTTTTTTTATAATCAATGGATATTAACTAGATCTTGGGTTAATTTGGGCTTTATTTAGGTCAACTCAAATCAATTTTTATTTTTATTTTTTTAACTCAAACTTTCTTTATTGATCTATCAAATTAATTTATGGATAATAACCCAACTTAAGAGTTGACTAGAGATAAGACTAGTTGAATTAACCTAGGACAAGATTTGGAGCATGAGTTTAATTAATTATTGACCTCAATTAATGTAACGATAAAAAAATAAAAATAATTATTGTTATAATTTTAAAATATGATTTAAAGGTCAACCTGAAATAAAAATTGGATTATAAGTTAGGAGGATTAACTCAAGTTAATTTAGATCAATATAAAAATAAAAATATTTATTATTATAGTTTAAAAATTTGAATAAATGATCGATTTAGGACAAGGTTCAAATAATAGGTTGGAAGGGTTAAATTAGGTTTAAAGCTCAAGCCGAGAAAAGATTAAGGTCACAAGTTTGGAAAGCCAACCCGAATTGACTCAATTCTTTAAAAAAAAAACAATTTTATTTTAAAAAATAAAATTTAAAACAAATTAATAAATTTTGACTCATTATCTCATAAATTAACTTGTTTTTAACCGAGTTTAATATAATTAATCTTTTTTTTATGTAGTCTTTAACCTGGATAAACCTAGACCCTAGATATCTCTGTCCTAAATAGACGTCTTAGTTCAGTTCAAGTTATATAATTATAATTATTATAATATTATTATCAAAGTGATAAAATAATATGTAATTTAAAAAAATGTAAATTTAAGAATAAAATATATAAAGAATAAAATAATTTTTTTTAATATTTTACATTATATTTGAATGCTTTTTTTTTTAGATTTAATCAATATATACCAAACAATAGAGTTATTAGAGTTACAGATGCATTACCGTCCGTCTAGCCCCAATCCTTGCTTTCCCGAACTGTAGTTCTGACTGCAAAATATCGTGGGCTTAGATGCATTTGCAAATATCCCAAGGAAATTGTATAAAGAAGGAAGACTTTTTATTTTTTAAAAAGATTAATGTAAATATTTAAACTAGCTTACGTCAATCTTAACTAAACCCACGAATTTTAAAATTAACAGTTAAAATTTATAGCACTTAATCTGTGAGCGAACCTGGAATGAATGAATAACATGGACGGCGGAAGACGGAGCGTGTCCCCTTGTTTTGTTCACCCTTTGATTATCGAGTTCGATATTCTTGTATTTTCTTTGGTTATTATTAGAATCCTTTCTAGGTCAGTAGGATCTTTATTAGGTCATTATGCTTGTAATGCTCCAGCAATCTTTTTAATGGATTCCAAGTGTCATCTCCGATTTCAAAAGAAGAAAAAGACAAGTAAGAGAGTAGGGGGTGAGCTTTAGCAATGGAGTCTTTTATACAGTGGGCAAAAGTAGAGTTCTTTAGCATTTCTTAAAGTAAAGTTCTTTCAATGGAGCTTTTATACAGTGGGCTTTCCTTAGACATGAATCCTTACCTTTTCCGTTTTCTTAGACTTGCTTGCATATCACCCCCAGCACCTGTATAAAAACAACCCTGAGAAGAAACCCTCTTAGATTATGGTGGATCTTGGCAAGTGGGTCTGCTTCACAGCTTTCTTAGTTCAATCAACGTGAAGCCGATTGGTTGTATGAGAAAATTGAGAATATACCCCCAAAATCCACAAGAAAAGCATAAAATCTCCCTCCAAATTATCAGATTAGTCACACCCTTTTTCTTCACAAAGAGAATACTTTAATACCAACGGCAATTTCATAGGGTTCCTTTTATTGCAGAGAACACATTGATGCTGATAGCTTTATCAGTGACTCATAATTGTCAATGCTTTCTTCCATTAACAATTCATTTCACATAATGATTAAGCACACGTGCATCAAAATCAAGTCGCTGCACCACAAGTCTCATAATCATTAAGTATTTTTTTTTTAACCTTCAGAGGAGCAACCCAGTCAAATGGCTTTTCCAATGATTGTAATCGTCCATAAAGAAATCCCTTCAAAAGCTTCGCATTATTGTTTGGTAGGAAAAGAAAGCAAGACATCTTGAACTGTCTACTAAACCTTCGAAAGCATCACACTTTATAGACCTCAGAGATGAAGAAAAGAAGAATAATTTATAGGTGGAAGGCATATACAACGAAAACTGCCTGTCACTACAGATTATAAAAAAATATATGTAAGCTTAGTAATAGGATAAAGTTGCATTTCTCACACGTGGTTTACCCAGGAACTCTCCCTTCAGTTTTGAGCCAACACACTCTTCCGATGATAACAAATGTGGTTTAGTCTGGTAGTTTCAACCGGTTAAACAGCACAAGGAAACTTTGTTCAGGAACAACGTAAAGGAAACCAAGATCTGCCCCTTTGACATATGGTCCGATGCCCTAAATGAAGTAATGGAAGGAGTTGAGAAAAACTACAAATAAAGACAAGAAGAATGCTAGCAAATATCTTCTGAACTTTTATTACCCTGCCATTAAGTTGAAGAAGTTCACCATCAACCCATTGTGGATTCTTGAAGCCAAACTCTGCTATTCTTCCTTGACCTTTGTAGCTTGCCACCTGGATAGAATTTTACAAACAATTGCATGCACTTTTAGATTTCCTGGACAAGTTTGTGATGTGACAAATAGTGTGAGAAGTATTCAGAAATGCCTGGCCTATAGTTGTTCAAAGTCCGCATTGTAGAACTGTAGGATTATTAGATAAAGAGAATTAACTTTCCTCGTGTTTTTTCACGAGACAGTGGTGCAATCACTACAAATTTCCAAAGAACTACTTGTTTCAACATTCAGGGAAAAAAAAAAAGGGCTTCTTTTTTCATGATTATGAAATGTTCCATAACGTTGTGAATTTCAAGAATTTTGGGTTGAGGAAAAATGCAATGGAAAGGAGAACAGAAACAAAGATAACAACAATGGCCTTGACCAAGCTATATTTGTGCTCAGAGATAGATAGAGAGAGATCCTCTAGCAAGTATAATTACCACTCCCAATTCATCTGGATACATCCCACGGTTGGAATTGCGACTTCCCTTCTCAATTCTAGCACGAAATGTGACCTAAACTTTGTAGTTGGTAAATTGGTTAGCATAAATTTTACATTGCTAGCATATAAAAATTAAGCGCGATAGCCAAACTTCAAGTAAAAAAAAAAAAGAAACGCAAACCTGGCCAGCGGGGACATTAAGATCCCCAGTTAGCTTCACTGCCTCAACATACTCAAAGAACTCCACATCTGATGACTGGTCATCTCCAATATTCCAGTGACCATATTTACGCCTCAATTGCACTATCTCAGTCCCATAAGGTCCAAATGCACCAACATACAGGCCTACAATTCAACCAACAGATTATAGCATCTACACATCTTTTATTGCTTAAATCAAAAGATAGAAAAACATGTGTACAGAAACTCACCATCAAATGGATCTAAACTGCTATTAGAAGTTGTTACTCTACTGAAAGTTGTATACTCAGATAAACTGCTTTGCTTCTGTGCCTGACTAACAGCAAGTTTGACAATTTCACGAACATTTCTAGAAACCTGAGAATAAAATGAACAAAATAATCACTGATTGTCAACAAAATACAGTGACACAACCAAGTAGATTGGCTGCAGCTAAGATTTTTGATCCTCAAACAATTCTCGAACTTTGGTTATCAATCAGATTGGAATTAACCTAAGAAAATAGCATATCCATTCAGCATTAAGGAAGAAGAAAAACAAACTATTCAGATTGTCCAATCTCAAGCTCAAACAGCAAGATAAAAACTTCACCATCTTCACAGTGAAGGTATTCACACAAAGTTTTGATAAAATAGAGAGGTTTGTTCTGGCACTAATGCAAAATTTAAATGAAAATTAATAGTCTTCTATCTTGAACAGAGTGTTTTCTTCTTCAGAAAGGATAACAGGCAAACTTGTCCTCACAATTCATGAAAGTTACCACTTAGATCCCTGAAAAAAAATTGTTTGAATGTTACTAGTATAGCTGGTCCCACCTGTCAAAATTGATGACACCGATGGATGGAAATTTCCACCATGGCACATGAGATCAATTGAGAATTCTGTCTAAACATGGCATCTTAGATGACAGGGGCCCCACAAGAAAAATCTAGTATATCATCTGTACTAATGGTTGGGAAGATGGCATGTAATGGTTATAAGTGCCAAATTTTTCCAGGTAACAGTGCACCCTTTTTCTTTTTCTCCAAGGATATAAATGGAAGCCTGACATAAGATATTGTCCAGTACCCCAAAGAAACTAAAATTCCTATCTATATTAAGATTGACTTCTATAACAACTATTGGAAGATGTCATGTAAATGGTATGGAAACCCTCCAACGATCAAAATTCCTGAATCTAGTGCATTGATCTCACCTTTGAAGAAACTTTGTCAGCACCCCAAAATGCCTTGGCGATATCTGAAGGCATAAGCTCAGAAACACCTTTAGCTGCTAAAGAAGCCACTTTTGCCTTGGATGCTTTACTTTCTTTACTGCCAGAATCTAGACTTCCTTGAAAATGTAGTATAAAAGAATCTTTCTCTATATTCTTAATTTCAGCTGGAAGACGCACATGCTCATCCTTGCTTGGAGTATCTTCATTGTTATGCACAACCCCACCAATAAACAGCTTCGTGTCTAAATCCTTTCCATCCTTTGATGAATCATTAGTGCCTTCCAAAGCATCCTCATCAGGCTGTATCTCTTCTAAATTACTGGCATCATCTTCTGAATTTTCACTGGAACCTGTTTTATCACCATCTTGCATCAAATGCTTCACAGAATCATTATCCTCCATCACTTCCCCTGTAGCATTAACGTTCATGACTTTTACTTTCAACCCTGGAATCTTATCTTTGAGAAAATTTATCACACTTTTTATCCCTTCCTCAGTTGCTTCTTCAATATTTATGCTCTTCTCCTCACTTCTCTCTACCTTAACATCGTTTGCCTGAACATCCACTACAGATCCATTCTCGGCTTTGGAAGTGGATGGAACTTGTGCAGATTTGGATGGGGTACTTGTGGAGTTTGTTGAACTTCCTTTAGCTCGTTGCAGACATACTACCTGTCAACAAATGCAATGTCAGAAAATTGGAAATTTCATAAGAAATATTAAAGAGAACTGAAGATCCAAGACCAAATACTCCACTAAGTAGATGCCACGTGACTAGAAGAAAGAAAATGGCTAGAACAAAAACTACAAACTTCTGAAACAATATCACTTATATAAGATCCTTCTTGTTGGAGATTCTCAGAACTTGTCAAAACATCTCCACCTATAATAAGATCCTTCTTGGAAATTCTTATTGTTTTCATCACAATAACATATAGTTCTGACACATATACGAACACAGCACATGCATACATTCATGCATGGACACATCAACACAGTATGCTACGTATCTTTAAACTTTAGCACTGTACTCCTAAATTCAGATGCATATTAGCAGGCCAACCATCATGAGCCAAAAGGGAAATCTTGACCCAATGACAAAAACCCTCCTAGTGGCTAACCGGAACTATGAGATAGAGACAGTGGAAATGCAAACATGATTGGTTGAAAAGGAAAAAATGGAGACATAAAATAAATTTGTCTATAAGATTTTTTGAGTGGATTTTTGTACTTTCAAAACAGAAACAAACAATATAGGGAGACATATCCCCTTTGTCTACACTGTCTGTCTTTTCCATCCCAGGACAGTAACCATATGCTACCTTAGAGTTCATAAAGAAAATAAGAGAAAAGGGATTAGCTCAACAGAGAGTTGATTCATTTGACTCTCATTGATCAGCTGCTCAAAACATCACTGCAACTCCTAAAGAACAAACAGAGCTGCACAATGTGTCACATGCATATTGTTTACACGCTCACATGCGATAAAGACTTGTTCTGTAATCAATGGGTGTTCTAGATTACAAAAGTTGCAGAACTTGATTATCACAATAAATTTAAGCATAACCACTTGGCATGTGCCTCACAACAAATTCATATTGCAGTTCTGACATTTTGTGCATGTGAGCTGTCTGCTCTTACTAGTCCCGAATCAGTAGTAGCACATCAACAAAGTGAGTATCATCCCGTCCCATGACTCTTCATATTGCCATTGCAGAGTATGAAGTCAACAAACTCAATCTGGTTGATAACTAGAGAATTTGCATTGAGGTACAATCTAAAAGGAGAAATTGTGGCTCACCTGCATAACATACTTTTCTTCTTCATCTTCGACCACAAAAATTTCAAACAATGGAGTTCCAGGAGAGGAATTGACCAACTGCCTGCAGCAAATGAGATTTTACAAAAATTGCAAAAAATTGCTCCGTTGCATCAAACATTATTCAAGACAACAAAGATCCTTACCTTGGAGTATAACTCCGGCCAACAAATCTGCCCACGCCAGGTGTTATGCGAACCAGTCTGCCAAAGGGATCATCAGAATCTGATGAGTAGCCCACCCACCAACCTACCTGTTAACTCAAAGAATAGAAGTTAAGTTGACATTGCAAGAAAGACAAAGGACTGATCTTTGAACATGAAAGGAGAGTTTTAATTGGTTTTCAATATTCTTCTTATATGGTTGAAACCAGTCATGTTTAATAATTAACATCTGATGAAGACCCATACAGTGCCATCACAAGGAAATGTTAACAGGTGTGGTTGTGAGATTAATAAAGTGACATGATGATACAAGGCAGACACTTGAGGACAATATTTCATGCAAAGTGTTCAGTACTGCCACTAATGGGAATTTTTTTCCCCAACATGTCAAATGCAAGAAGATTAATCAAAATTATGTGATCTAATTTTGTTGGTTGATAGCCCGCATGAAACAATATGTGATCTACTTTGCTAGGCTAAATCTACACTCCAACAGAAAAACTCATAAAGGTAAGAGAAATATGAAATCAAACAGGACATGAATAAAGTCACAAAACAAAATCTAGTAGCCCTGTAATAAAAAGCAACCAGTCCATACTATTTGTCACACGTGTGCAGCGTCACGACAATCATCCACCATCCATGAAAAGATGGAAAGTGGTGTATTTCTAGCAAGATATGAAGAGACAAGGAATTCTTGTCTCTTATCAGTGGAAAATTTGAATGGGAGTCGCCCCCTAGTATTCTGGTAACTAGGAACTCTAATTGGTCTCAAAGATCAGGTACGGAGACTAATTGTGTAAAGGAAAGGTATTAGCACCCCAAATATGCCCTACCTAAGGTAAGCTATATTATTTTGCATTGTTTTGTCTGATAAAATATAAAATCATGTTGTGTTGTCTAATTATATGTCTATCTAAGGTTTAAGAAAAGTCATCCTTTGTAGGAGATTTTTATCTTATCAAGTAAAAACCTAAATGTTCCATGTCATTAAATAAAAAATACTTTTTATTTAATATCAGGAATAAATGTTACGTAGAACCTCATAATCCCTAATACTAAAACAAAACAAAAAAAATGTTTTGTTATGGCTGTATATTTTCTCTGTGAAATTATCTAGCATGGATGGAGCAAATCTAACCAAACCTGTGAATTCTGACCTTGTAAAGAGATATTATGTCTAAATATGTTCAGTTTTCTCCCAAAATAAATACAGTAAAGTTTGGTCATGCATTCTGTGTAAAGAACCCTGTCATTACCTTGATCTCACAACACTTATGTCATTTATCTGGAAAGAACTGATTTTGTGCATGATTACAAGAAATGCATCATAAAGCACTCAAAGATGAAATTTAAGCATTTCACGAAAAAAGAGGTGACCAAACCAAAATAAACCCCAAAACTTACCCTGAGATAAAACCTTATCTCCACTAGCATTTTTTGAATTTGCATAGATAAATGGTTAGTTAACCATCTTTGTGATCACATATATTTTCCTAGGATAAGAACAAGGTTTATCAATCCTAACAACGTGCGCTTTGAAATGAGAAAAAGCCATCTTTGTCATCCATTCACTTTTCTAATAAATTTATCCTTCATAGTCCTCATTTGAGCTAAATCGCGTTTCACACCCCACACTGGGGGCAAACAAGAGATATTGGGAAGATCCTAATAGAATCAATAGGAAAGGGAAGGTTAAGAAAAAGTCCAACAATGATTGAAAAAAAGAGAGAGAGAGAGAAAAGAAAGACCTAGACTAGGGGCAGAAAATATTGATGTCAGTTTTGATCACCTTACCAGCTAGACAAAGTAATGAAGATGGATACGAGAATTGATCATGTAATATTTTGTTATTATCCAGACAAAGCAGTGAACATAAATGATGGAATTGATATCTCATATAGTTGACACAACAAAGACGACATTGTGAAAAACGAAAACAAAAAGGAAAAGAAGAAAGAAAACCATACAAAGAATAACAGAGTCACAAACTTTGGTTTTTGGTGTCAAAAATAGAATCTCCAGATGACTTTTCGTATATTCAATAACGAAAATTTTGTTTTGGTATGACCCATGTTATGAGAATTCTGGTCTTTATTTTATTTTGGTTGCTTTATTTTATTTAAAAAAATAAAACAAAAATATAATAATAACTAATTTAAAAATAATAACAGTAAAAAAGGGAATGTCAAAATGCTCATAAAATGGTCAAAAATTGGTTGATGAGTTTACAATTACAAAAATTAAAATTTGACAGTATTTTGTTGACTGATGAGAGCACTGTTGACAAAAAAAATTCAATTTTAGGAAGAAAGTCTAAAATAAGATATTTATAGATTCAATTAAATTTTAATAAAGGTTTAATTGAATTTATGGAGGGTTTGATTGCCAGAAAAATTGATTTTTAAGTTAATTTGGGCTTTTATTAGAAGAAATTAAAGTTCTGGGGTCAAAATATACTTTTTACAAGTTAATTTGGTTAAATCAAGGGCTTAATTGCATAAATATTGAAGTTTGATGGCCAATTAAGGACTTAATTGAAGAAATCCGAAACCAAGGACCAAATTGTAAAACCACGCCTAAATTGAAGGCCTGATTTTGAATCTGACATATTTTGGTGTCAATTCTCATTTAAATGAAACGGCGTGTTTTGGGAAAAACGACGCCGTTTCATGCACTGTTTATAAAAAAAATGAGAAAAATCAAAACGGTGTCGTTCATCATCTTCTTCCCCTAGACACGCAGAGAACAGGGGAAGAAAATGTGTTTTTCTCCTTTGTTTTCACCTATTTTTTTACCGACATTTCACCTTCAAAAAGACGCCGACACAACCCACTTTCCACGTGCTGGAAGAGTAGCAACACAGTGGCCATCCCGGCCACGTCCCCTCCCCTGTTTTTGCCTATAAAAACAAGAGAGGCAGAAGCAAAAAAAAACAAAAAGAAAAAAGAGAGGGAGAAAAAGGAGAGAAGAAGACCAAACCCAAGAAGAGAAAGAGACCAAACCCAAGGAGAGAAGAGAAGAGAAGAGATAAAAAACAAAAAGCAGAAAAATGTGAAAAACTGATGAGAGAGAGAGAAGAAAAACACAGCAAAATGCCGACCATCGTGTCTCCGTTATCAGCAGCACCGCCTCGACGCCAATCCTAGGTAACCTCCGGATGCCCTATCTCTTTCTCCTTTGCTCAACCACTGTCTGCGTTTGCATACAGAACGTGAATTAATTCACGTTCTACAGCAAATGAGGGGGGTTGGTTACTGTACACTGGTCACTGTCCTCCACTGTTCTGCATGCAAACGCAACCCCCCCTCATTTGCTGCAGAATGTGAATTAATTCACGTTCTGCATGCAAACGCAGACGGTGGCTGAGCAAAGGAAAAAGAGATGGGACAGCCGGAGGTTACCTGGGATTGACGTTGAGGCGGTGCTGCTGACAACGGAGACACGGTGGCCGGCGTTTTGCTGTGTTTTTCTCCTCTCTCTCCTCGGTTTTTCACACTTTTCTGCTTCTTCTTCTCTTCTTTTTTTCTCTCTTCTCTTCTCTCCTCTCCTCGGGTTTGGTCTCCTTCTCTCTTTGGGTTTGGTCTCCTTCTCTCCTTTTTCTCCCTTTTTTTTCCTCTTTTTTTTTGTTGCTGCCTCCCCTGGTTTTATAGTTTTGAGTTTTCTCGTTTTTTTTTTAAAAACAATGCATGAAAAGGCGTCTTTTTCCCAAAACGTGTCGTTTCATTTAAAGGAGAATTGGCGCCAAAACACGTCAGATTCAAAATCAAGCTTTCAATTTGCGCGTGTTTGACGCGCCAAAACACGTCAGATTCAAAATCAAGCCTTCAATTTAGGCGTGGTTTTACAATTTGGTCCTTGGTTTCGGATTTCTTCAATTAAGTCCCTAATTGACCATCAAACTTCAATATTTATGCAATTAAGCCCCTTGATTTGACCAAATTAACTCGCAAAAATTATATTTTGACCCCAGAACTTTAATTTCTTCTAATAAAAGCCCAAATTAACTCAAAAATCAAATTTTCTTGCAATCAAAACCTCTATAAATTCAATTAAACCTTTATTAAAATTTAATTGAATCCATAAACATCTTATTTTGGAGTTTTCTTCCTAAAATTGAATTTTCTTTGTCAACAGGGCTCTCATCAATCAACAAAATACTGCGAAATTTTAATCTTTGTAATTGTAAACCTTCTCAACCAATTTTTGACCATTTTCTGAGCATTCTGGCATTCCCTTTTTTACTGTTATTATTTTTAAATTAGTTATTATATATATATATATTTTATGCGGGGACCCAAAAATAAGTTACAACACTAATAGTTGAAGGCTTTCACATAAAATCTCATGAAGCCATGCCTCCAAAGGAAGCAACTTAAACTAGTTTATCCCTTTGTAGTTAAACAACAGGGATGCAACCAAAAAAAATTCTTTAATTCTTGTCTAAGAATGTGGTTGACTATATTTACTGTCCAGCCCTTCCATCCAGGCCAAGAAATGCCAATTAACAATTTCACTTGAAAACCTAAAGCAGATGATCTCTAACTTTAAGAGTAAGAATCAACAATAGTGTAGAGGCTATTGTAATTACCAGTCCACTTCCGGTATATTTACACAATCTTGAAGCATCATGGTATCGTTCTTCATCTACTGCATTCTGCAGGTAACAGAAAGTTTTTAGTAAGAGCCAAAAGTTATGCATCCAGGTCCAAACTTCAAGGGACTGGTATAGAATTCTATGCACACAGTTCTAATGCCCCATATAGAGCTCAAACCTTCAGTTGAGACATTATTTGGGCTACATTATCCTTTGAAGTAGCTTCAGCAATGGCTATTTTCAACTTTGCAGCCTCTTGAAAGTCTTCATTTTCAATTGCATCTTCCAGTTGAAACTGAGAAAATGGCATTCAATTAAATTTAAAAAAAAAAAACACAACAACAAGACATATGGAATATGGATGTGCTAGAACTTCTTCCTTTGATATCTAAGCAGCTACAAATGGAAATGGACAGATCCAAATTACTTGAGCCCATTACCAGCGACAAATAAATGCTTGATATGCAGTCATAATTCATCACTCATTAGGCATGTAATCTTACTTCATTATAGAGGAAAACCAGTACTTTGATTTTCAAAAGTTGATTGGCAATCTACAAGTTTTTGCAGAGTCAATTATCAGATGGGCATATCAGAACACATTGGCTCTAAAAATACCCGATGCACGATAAAAGCTTACACACTAGCATCACAATAAATAAATTAAAACAATTTTCAGATTCTGCTATATCTCTCATGTAATTGGTGCTCAAAACAGTCATGCTATACAATATTTCTCCTATATACCCCCTAGCTCTTTTCTTCCAAGAAAAAGAAGAATGGAAAAAACGGCCAATTCCACAAATATGCCGCAATATTCACGCTTCCGAATTGCATAAAAATATCACACTTCACTGCAAACAGAAAAATTTTACTTTCCTAGGAAATAAATTTTCACCTATAGGACCATAAAATACCCCAAGATCAAATTAAACATACGAAATTCATAGAAACAAAAACGATCAGAACCAATACCAATTATAAAAAGACCAAGATTTAGTGAATTGCGTACTTAGGCAAACTGATTACCAAAAAAAAATCCTACCAAACTAATTACAATTAGAAAACATAAGCTTGGTATTTTTAGCTACAACAAATTAGACCCTTTTAACATAATAAGGCAACTAAGCAAGCAGCAATAAAAACCCACCGCGAAAACATCAAAATAAACCAAGTAAAAGTACAAAAGAGGTAGCACCTTGAGAAGAGAGGCAAAACTTTCAGCTTGTTCAATCTCAGAGAAATGGCGGTTCCATCTATTCCAATCCCACTCCAAAGCAGAAGTAGCACTAGGACTATTATTATTGCTATTATAGCAATAACAGCAGTGCAGATTTGAGTTCTCGCGGGTTTTATTGAGAGAGAAAGAAGGATTCTTTTTGTTATTGTAAGGAGAAGAAGAGCAGCCCCAACCAAAAAGAAAGCTAAAATTGGTAGATTTTGGGGCTGAGAAATCAATGCAACAAAAGGGTCTTAATTGGGGCACTGTAGTTATTGATTGCCCCATTCCATATACATTATTTCCCCCTATCATCTCTCAATGCTTGCTTGTAGGTTTTTGAGACAGAGGAGTTTGGTGGTAACTAATCTAGTTGTGATATCTGAGGATAAACTTGTAAGGAGGAGGAGAGGAGGCTGAACAGAAAATCTGAGGATATGTGGGATCCATTTTGATGTACACGGGGCTAAATTTTACCGGTTTTTATTTTTATTTTTATTTTTGCAGGCCTTTAGGTTTTTAGCCGACGTAATTTTGAAATCGAAAAAACCAATAATATTTGGCAATTAGGTTGGCCAATAATGGAAGACCAATTGGCCAAGAATTGTCTTTGTTTTTTATTTTAAAAATATAATAAATTCTTTTATTTTAAATAAAAAATTTAATATTTTAAATCTTTTTAATATATTATATTAAAAATATTTTTTAAAAAATAAAAATAAAAATATTTCACCTTCAAAATACATGTAAACACCATCCTTTCTGCGCCGAGGCTTGCGCTGCCCACCAATGGCTGCGTGCATTACTTTCTTCCTCAAATCGGGCTTTCCTTTCTTCCCTGTAGCCGTCACAAGACGAAAACAAACGGTCAAGTCTTCCTTTGATTCATTTTCTGATAGAATAAATAAAGATGTTGAGATAAAGATAAAATGAATCCAATTAACTTAATTAATATATTATCATGATATGAAATTACAATAATTTTATATTAAAAAATTATAAAGATTAATTAATAATCAAATATTAAAGAATAAAAATAAAAAATAAAAATTAATTTTTAAAAAATAACATAAAAAAATTTGAAAGATCAAAATTAAATAAAAAATAATAAAAAACCGTATCAACATTTTGATCATCCTAAGTGATCACAAACTTTAAGGTTAATAATTTAATGATAAATAATAAAATTAAAAAAAAATTACTCAACTCAGATTAATTCGACTAACTTACGACCCGAGATATAAAATAAGAATAACTATACAAAAATAAAAATATAATAAATCATGAATCTCAAGTCTTAATAAGTTAATGTCAAATGATAAAAAAAAAAATTAAAGAATTTAAAAAAATATCAAACTTAAATCAGGTTAATCACAAAAATTGATGGACCGAATCATAAAAATGAGATTACCTTGTAAAAAACAGATATAAAAACATTATAAAACTAAATTTTTAATTATAAAAAATTAAAACTTAAAAACTAAAACAATGAATACTAAATCTTGCACCAAATATAATTAAAAAAACTAATTAGAGATTAAATTAAAAAACAAAATAAATGAAGAAAATGATAAAAAAAAAACAATAAAAAAATAATGGCCAAAATTAAAATAAAATAAAATAAAATTATAAAGGTAAAAAAAATAAAAAGGATAAAAAATAAAAAAATAAGAACTAAATCGAATATAAAAATTAAATACTGAAAAATAAAATTAAAAAAATAAAAAAATTTGAGAAGCAATAAAATTAATATAAATAAAAATTAAATTTAAAATAAATATAAACTGATGATACAACTAAATTTTTAAATACTCGATACAAATAACAGGGTTTATAAAGAAAAAAAAAGAAAAAAAAATTATCGTCCGGTGGTCAGCATGACCAAACACGTCCATCTAACAGTTGCTCCACCATTTTACGTGTCGGATGAAATAGTAATCGACAGTTTTTGGCACTTAAAATACTCTCCAAACGCCTCTAAAAAGCGCAGGGACGATGACACCCTAAAGTGTGTATTTATTATTGATTTATTACTATGTTAATAATGTAAATTACTAATATGGCCCTAAATGCACATGAATACTACAGAAAAAAACTATGTAGAAAAGACAAAAAAGCCCTCCCAAGCCTATTTTAGGTTGTTTTAAGTCAAAGGTTGAATATATCATTTTACTGCATAAAAATATTAAAGACAACAAAACCCCTATTTGTAAGGTCCATATTTTTAAGCTTTTGAGCGTACCAACCTTATTTTACTGTGCAAATAAATGGAAAAGGATACAAATATCTTTGAACAAGGAGTTGGTCAAGTGGTAAAGATTTGGATCAAGAGGTTTGCTCCCTCTGTAATCTCAGATTTGAGTCTTTAGTTGCTCATATGATGGTCGTTGGAGGCTTACATGGTCGTTAACTTCAGGACCCGTGGAATTAGTCGTGGTGCGCGTAAGCTGGCCCAGATACCCACCACCCACGTTAATCTAAAAAAAAAACTACTTTTTTAGCTTTTAAGGCCAACAAACAACATAGCATTTGTACTGTTTGCTATATATATATAAAAAAAATAAACAACTAAATTGTTTCTAATCAATTAATAAATGACATTTGAATCCCCTTTAAAAAAAAATGATTCACCCCTGCTGCCAAGGCAATGGTTAGGTGCACTGAAGAACAAAATGGTCAATTCCGTTTGAATTTGCAGTATTTCTCCTCACATGCTATAGGAATACACCAAGAGGTTTTTGGGTTCGGTTTATATATATATATATATATATATATATATATATTAGTAATTTTCGTCCCGGAATCTTTTCTAAAGAAAGACAACACCTTTATGAGAAGAAAATCATGCACGGATTTAGTAATGCAAAATTCAAGATATTGGAACCACCGCTTATATCTTTATGATTAATGGATGAATATTGTACTCTACACAGGCAATCCACTAAACCAAAATTCGTTGTTGAACAAAAACAAAACAAACTTCGCAATAATAATTCTATATCGGTAAATCTAAGCTCCATTCTCGTTAACAAATTACAAAGGTTATCATTACTGATTTTTTAGCCCGGAAATCCCCATGTAAATTGTTGAGTGGGGTTCCTTTTCTGGTACATCACGTATCAACACAGCAATTAGACAGTGGTCATGGACATACGTCATTTTGCTTTTCTCTGTGTTATATAGCAGCTGAGGGCATTGGTTTTTTCATTAAAGTGTGATTCAGCGAAGCCTAGCTTCTCTCAGCACAAGGTTAAGAGGTTGTATAACTGCGACAATCCAGGAAAAAAGGCTAGTGATGAGGTTGGGTGGACTGACCGTCAAGCACACAACCAGCTGAGGAAACCGGTCCCACACCTCTTGGTTCCTCAGTTGCCATGTGCACACTTCCATTCTCAGCAGCTTCCACATCAATATCTGCATCGGTGGGCACCCCAGCATTTTCAGTTCGGACAGGCCAGAGCAGACCCTGCATTCTCAACAGATAGATTTGGCTGAAAGGCACGGTTCTCACATAACGGTTGGTTGTTAGGGTGGCAGGAGATCTTTCAGAATCAGCGAGGAGATTAGACAAGGCACTAAGGTCAAGATTTGGGAAGACTGAGCAGCGACACCGTGGACATTTCACATTCAGTCGAAGCCACTTGTCGATGCATTCAACATGGAAATTATGTGCACAAGGCAGGCCACGAACCTGCAACATAACCAGTAAGGAACTTTGGCAGTTCAACTATATTTTATTTCCCTAAAGCCTGATGGCATGTGGCCCTGTGCTATTTGTCAACTCTAACAGGTAACAAACCAATTACGTAAAGACTATGAAATGAAATATTTTGCATGAGGTTTAACTACCAGCACCAACCTTTCATTACTATGTAAAAGTGATAATTTTCTTCGTGGTCATTTTCACAGGTGGTCTAATCTGCAACCGAATGACTTGGTGGATAAATTACTGAGCTAAAATAGTTGGAATATATTCAGTGGGAGTAAAGCAGGTAAGTTTTTCCTTCAGAAGTTGTAACAAACCTACACTATACCTGAAGTTCTATTAAAACACTCAAAAAAAGATAACGGCAGCATTTTTAACAATAAAGGGCTATTTCTGCAGTGGAATAGACCTCCCCTAGGGCAACTGGACACGTATAAAAAAATATCTACCTCATTCCCTACATGGAACTCTTCAAGGCAGATGGGGCATTCACTGCAATCAGTTGGAACAGCCTTGAGCCTGAACTTTGGAAGTTCTTGAATAAGCGCCTCCACTGCTTCTCTCTATGAAAAGACAACAGAACCAGAAACAGAATTATAAACTAATAAAAAGTTTATGCCAATTTAGAAGGTTTACATGACCAGATTTCTTCAAAAATATTATTGTAAGCTACTGGAAAGGAATGGAATCATATGACCCTAAAGTCCAATAATATAATGCATTAGCTTAGACATCCTCCAAAAAATATGGAGAGCACACCGGAACAAACAAAGAGTTAAAATAAAATTTCTTCACAGTCCCTTTTCCCCTTGGATGCCCTTCCCTATCAAGGTTAATCCATACTGATATGTAATAATTTGGATCACATTCAATCACCAATGAGGACTTGAAACCTGAAGTACTGTATTTTTAGGTTGCAATAAAAACATGAATGTGCACAATGTTGTCCGAGTTAAAATGAAGAATAAATGGGAATCATATAAATCATAGCCCTTAATAGTGACAGGCACTTACCTGAGTGGGAGTCAAGTAGAGTCCAGGTTGGTACACAGCAGCATCTTGGCCCATACCTCTCATTTCTTGACCTGCAGCTTCAAATGCCCAATCTGGCACCCGGATCAAATCAACCAACACCTGGATTCATGAGTAGGATGATTAAAAGAAATCGTGCAAGAAGCAATAATAAACTTCAATACTCGAGCTGAATGAACCATTACCCCATATTCTGAAATAGGAATGCCCTGCTGAGCACGCAAGTGATGTGCTTGTCTTCGTACCCGCCACTAGAAAAGAAAATTATACGAGTCGAGGATAAGAAGGGGCATGTGAAAATAAGAAAGCATCAATGAGCAGAATGATTTGGATATCAGGGTAAACAATAGAATGCAAAATTAAATACAGAAATAGATGTACAAGGAACTATGATAACCTTTCCAACAGAGATGCAAGCAATACCAATGAGTCCACAGTAGCTGAAAAGCAACCATATAAGAAAACCCCATTTCTGACCTTCTTCTGGTAACTGCAGAAGTTAAATAATCACCTCCAGAATTAAAATTGTCTTCAGATGCCAATACCAAGGAATATCAAAAAGAACTTACACAATCTCTTGCATTTGTGAACCAGAGAGTGCCAATTATAGTCCACGCCCAAAGAAATGGATATAGTAGCAGAGAGAGAATTGAAAGAACCACAATTCTTCCACAAAAACGAGCATATCTCTGCTGCCACCCAAAATCCCTGTAAGGAAATAAAATAGATAAAAAAGAACAACTTATTATCTATACAAGAAAGTAAAATTGATGAAACATGTATATCCCCGCTGCCACCCAAAATCCCTACAAGGAAGTGAAATAGATAAAAAAAAGAACTTATTAGGCAAGATTCAGCTTACAAAGTGCCTTTTCAAACTTTCACTAAAAGAACATGCATTAGACTGATGCAAACAATATTCTCAAACCATTCAATTCAACCATATGAAAGAGAAGAACAAATTGTTAACGAGAAGTTTCTACAACATTGTGAAAGACTTCACTCACATGAAAACAGGATTAAACCAATTAAAACAAAGCAATCTCTGTAGCCACTTGATTTCAAAAGGTGTTTAAAAAAATTGTTGTACAGAATCCTTTTCCAAAAGCACAGCTATAATATGGGAGTCAATCCAATATCTCATTCTAAGCAAATTTCTTTCTTGAAACCTCTTCAAAATCTTTAAAATAACATAACATGCAGAATTCTCATATAAAGTAGCAGAAACCCATCACTAAAAACATTATTGGCAAGGTGTATATGGCCAGGCCTTACAATCCCATTCCAGCAGCAAGTCCATTATCTATGAACATCAACAAGCGAAACACAAAAACAGTAGTGTAGTCAACCTGAACCAACAAAAGTTAGAAATAAGATGCAAAAGAAAACCACTGAATTCACATTATTAGTTTGAACTAGAATTAGATCGAACAACCTACCATTATCCATATGTGCAAAGGGTATGTACAAAGATGGTAACGCTTCCAATTGATGGCAACAATGATTCTAACAGTACCATTGTCAAAGAAAAAACAAACAACGTAAACCTAACTATCAATTCCCATAAAATAATCGTTTAGAACTCAATTCATGATCTAACTTTCATTGGAATTTCAAAAAATGCCCCGTTTTTCTTCAAAACCAAACGGTTGAAATATAAAACCAAGAAAAGATGGTAAGATATTGATGTTAAATAATCACCTAAAGAAAGCCACAAACAAGAAGGCTGAGCAAGAGCCTAGCTAGCTGGTACCATTGAAACCAGACTCAAAGATTCAAACTTTCCTGGGAATTAAAGAAATAAAACGAAAACCCTTAATTATATGAATGCCAAAATGTAAAATGTGTACATAATAAAAAGGATACGCACTTGTTGCAAGCATTGACAAGAAGAAGCCATCGTACCTGCAAAACCCAATATTTTTCAACATGAAAACAAAAACCTTGAAACAAAAAGGTAGGCACCCGCCAGTCCAATATCTACAGATATAGTGAAGTTAATTAGAAGGAAAGATTGAGGACAAACCACTTGAAATCGACTCCTCTCATTGCCATAACTAACTGGAAAACCCTATGAGAAAAAAAAGGAAAGAAATACTTATTACAACAAAGAGGGGGAGTGAGAGAGTTTCTGTATGTGAATCAGTGACCAACAATCCTCGTAATCTCATCAGGTACGAGAAATGAATCAGAATCTTTCATCTATGGAGCCCTATGTTTTTTTGTTGTTTACTAAATGCAGTAATTATCAGTAACTGAAACTGGATTAAAGAGAGTTTATTGAGAACAGCAGAGAGACTGAAAGAAGTATAATAATAATAATAATGGAACTAAGGAAGGATAGGTTGTTGACGGAGAGATTCGGGGACACGTTAATTGACGGCGTCAAGTGGGGTCTTGTTGATTTTTTTCTTTTTAGGTAAAAGACGGTAAGCAGTCGATGGATTTTTTTCGTCTACTTGTGGAAACCTTTTTTTTCAAGAAAGAACTCCTGCTGGGTAGCTGTGGATTATGGGAAGGAGGTAAGCAAGTGGTTGACACGTAGGTTTGGGTTGCTGACGTGTTTACAACAGGTTAGGTTGGCTAAGTGGGTTGGTCCCTTTCATCATCTATCTTTAAAAAAAAAAAGGAAAAGGAAAAGACATGAAGTGTTTTCTAGTTTGTACTTGCATGACATGTTTGCCTCCTTTTCCTTTTCCTTTTCTTTTTCTTTTCTTTTTCTTTTCCGTCAATGATGGCAATTTTTGGTTTTTTAATTAACATACATGTAACACTTGGTCGGTCAAATCAACCGAAAGCGTGACTCTGGTTCTTATCTCGGGTTTTTTTTTTTAATTTAAAAAAACCCTTAAAATAATGTTATCTCAATGATTGTTTAGTCATAATTTAGGGTGCCCCATAAATCAACTAGCACGAGTCATAACATGGCCTCGAGGTGGATTGACCCTTGATTTGGACCCGATAACTTGTACTAGAGAGGAAGAAGCGAAAAGAGCAAAGTACCAAACTCTTCATTAGAAAAAAAAATAAAATAAAAGCCATCAGTGTTTTATCATGGCTTATAAGGCAACGCAGTATGGGTTTGCGTAGTATTTTGTTTTTTTTTGTTTTTTTTTTATTTTCATTCATCAATAATATATTTATTAAAATTTAAAATTAATAATTTATTTTAATCTATATTTTATATTATTATCACGGTCATGAAAAAATATCTCGATACTAGTTTCGTGATATATATATATAACAAAAAATAATTTGAATTTATTATTTATAATAAATAAAAAATAAAATGATCAAAATTAAAGCTACTAAATAATGACAAGCCTTTTTAAAAGAAAAATATGGTTCAATTCTAGTCCCTTATTTTTTTTTCTTTTGTTATCACTTTTTTTTTAATTTAACCTTTCAATATTATGTTGATTAGGATCTAAGCTTGATAATTTATTTCAATCTACTTTTATATAATTATCATGATCTAAAAACAATTCTCATTATTAAGTTAACGCTAGATCTCAAGAAAAAAAAATCTAATTTTATTGTTCAAGACAAATTTTTAAAAAATAACCAAAATTGACACAAAGAAAAATTAAAAGCCTTAAAATTATTATTATTTTGTGTTAGAGTCCTTTTCTTCTAGGATTTTGTCAAAAAAAGGTTTGGTCCTTTTAATTTGTAAATTAAATGTTTGGCCCAAAACTTTCTTCTATTTGCATTTTAATCTTTAAGTTTAAGAGAAGAAAAGAGTTATCGTATTACAGCGAAAAAAAAAAGAAATTAATAAATGACGAAACTTATCATTGTTGATATTAATAAGTTTTGTTTGACTATGAAAATTTTATTTAAGTCTTTTTCCCTTGATTTTATTTGAGCAAGATAGATATGATGTTGGGGATTTTTTAATATTTATATTTTTTATTTTATTTTTTAACTGATTAAATGCTAATTTAATGCCAAATTGGGTTTTTTGAGTTTCTTAGGGTGTTTCTTAAATTTTTTGGCTAAAAAAATGGGTTTTTACTATTGAAGTTGGCTCCATAACCTTTCGATCACCATCTAGAATAAAAAGTGATATGCTGCCAGTGTTTTTTTTTTAAATAATAGATAGAAGAAATGTTTTTCCCTTCTTGAAAAAGATATAAGAAAATTATAGAATGCATAGGCATGTTAGGTTAAACATGTCGTGTTCCATCTTTTTTTTTCTATAAATCTTTTGTTGATTTCTTCTTAATTTCAATTTTTAATATTTTTTTATTTTATTACGATCTCAAACAAGCTTCCTAGAACTTGATCAATGCTCAATTTTGTGAACATCTATTTTTTTATCATATAATTAAATAATTTTTTTTAAATAAAGTTATTAAATCCAAATGAATCTATAATTTAGATCGCAAGTTTTTTGGTTTAATATGAGTTAATTAGAAGTTGAGTTTTATAGTTTATTTTATTTTATTTTTTATAGGGTTATCATCGTTTTCAACAGATATCATGATATTGTGTTGATGTTTAATTGTGCGAGCATATTTTGCTATTATATAGTTAAAAAAAATAGTTTAAAAACATTATTAAACACAAATCAATCAATGACTTGGGTCGTAGGTTAACTTGGATTAATTGAGAATTAATTTCATAATTTATTTTGATTTAGCTCTTATAAGGTTGTTATAGTCTCAACCAAATATCTCGACATTGAGTTATTGCTAAATTTTGTGATTGTATTTTTAATTATATAATTAATTAAAAAATTATTTTAAAAAATTATTAAACTTGATAGAGTTTATGACCCAAATTACAAATTTTTTATGTGTTTGGAAATGTGATTGCGGTTACTTTTTAAAATATTTTTCACTAAAAAATACATCAAAATAATTTTTTTATTTTTTTAAAAATTATTTTTAATATCAATACATCAAAACGCTCTAAAAATATTAATTTAAAGAAAAATAAATTTAAAATTTTTGGAAACACAAGTTAGATTGCATTTCCAAACAATGTCTTAGAGTGTTAAGCTACAAAACCTAAGTTAATCTAATGTGTCGTTGTCCTAATATTTTTTAAAACGAGATGTCATCTTGAGTTTTTTTAAAGCTAACCATATTTTTACTAATTATCAATCTCCTTTGACGAGTTTTTTTAAAGCTAACCATATTTTTATTGATTATCAATCTCAATTGACATGTTCATTTACATGTCAATTGGGTCATGTTGGGCAATTTTTATATAATTTGATTCGAAACCCAAGCTAAACAAAGGTGGGCAATTTTTATATAATTTGATTCGAACCCAAGCTAAACAAAGAGTTAGGTTTAGAGTTTTAAAATTGACCTACTAGCAATAAAAGAGTTTCCATAACCTAAACACTTTTTTTATGTTAATTGGTGTGGTTCATGACGTAACATAAACTATCTATCTAGTTATTTAATTACTTATAAATTTAATTGATACAAAGGACAAGTTAACATATAACTTATTAAGGATTTCGTTGAAATTTTATCTAATAATTTGTTAATTTTACATTAAAAAAATTAGGAATGAAATGCTGCTTTTTTTTTTTTACACATTAGACTAAAAGGTGTTGTTGTGAATTAGTAAAATAAAGTGGAGTAATTATAAAGATTTATCTTACCTTTATATCAAATTCCACAATTAATTAGTTGATTGTTAAAAATAACTTTATAAAATAGCTCTTTTACAAATTATATATGTAAATACTTTGTCCACTACATTAGCATAAAGAAACATTATACTTTATTTATTGTTAATATGGTATTAAAACACATAGGAATGTCACTTTTGTTGACATATAATACCTTTCTACACCAACTCAGTACTGGTATCTTCACATAATTAATCATCACTACTAATATAACCATAAAAGACTTGACATAAAGGCTAACACATATATTAAGCCAAAAACAAAACTTAGACCTAACACCAACTTTGATAACGACCAATTGAGAAGACTTTGTATGTGTATACACAAAAATAAAATTATTTTTTGCAAGATAGTTTCATTATTAGGACTGACTAAGTTGTTAATTTTCAAAGCTTTGTCAAAGAAATTTTAACAGAATTATTGCCTAAAATCACCTGAATTTAGTAGATGCATTCTTACTAAATTAAAATATTTATAGCTCCATATTTATTCGTTTAAATGTGTCAATTTGATCGGTACAACATCTAAAAATTAAGTGATGATTGATCATGACAAAATTTTAGGGACTTTTCATGTAAATATTGGGTTGCAAATGTCTCATTTCATGAGATTAAGGTTGTAGATAGGATTTTTTTTTTCATTTGCAAAAAGTCTTATGCCATTTGAAGGTCTAGAATTTCAAAATGAGCTCTTGGAATGTGTCAACTTAATCATCGTGAACTGACAAAGAAGAAAATCAACAAAATCTAAACAACACATCATTTGGGTTAAAATCCTAGAAATTAAGGTTTTTAATTTAGGATTTAACAAAGTGTCAATTTAGTCTTTGCTTTTTCAATTATGGCATATACACCTTCGATTAACACAAAAAAAAACTTTTTAATTACATGCAATTTAACCTTCACCAAACTCATATATTAACTCTTAAGTTGGCTGTCCTTTTCATTTTGCTTTTTGTTTATGAATTTATACATTTTGACCCTTAATTGATCAACAAACTTTTAATGTGTTTTAATTTGGCCAATGATTTGGCCAATTTTAGCCCCTATATTCATTGCATTTTCTAGTTTAATCCTTCATTTTGAATTTCTTCAATTAAGTACTTATTACCCATTAAACTTCAATATTTATGCAATTAAACCACTAATTTAACCAAATTAACTCCTAAAAATCACAATTCAACCCTCAAACTTTAATTTCTTTCAATTAAAACCTAAATTGACTCTTAAAAATAAATTTTTCTTGCAATTAAATCCTCAATAAATTTAAATAAACATTGATTCTCCTTAAATTGATTTTTTTGTTATTAATAAAGCTTTCAATGGTAAAAAATACATTGTAAAACTTTTTTAATTTTGTATATTTGATCTTTTTCAGTCAATTTTAGATAATTTCTTGGCATTCTGGAATACTCTTCTCATTGATATATTTTTTTTTTCTTCCAACATTTTTTTTAATCTTTTTGTATGTTTTTTTGTTTATGTAGTATCCCAAAAATAGATAACAACAAACATGAGTTGGAAAAATAAAACGGAGTAATTAGAGAGATTTATCTTAATTTATTTGTATTAAATCCTATGATTTAAGAGTCACCTAAATACGATCAATTAACGATTTTGATTGCTAAGAATAACTTTTTATAATATCTTTTTGTACAAACTATATA